ACTCGGAATTGTTCTTATACAGGGATGCTCCCAAGTCGAGGTACTGCTGTATGTTATTTTAAGGCCAAGATTTCTCCTAATAACATTGACATCTATTATCTAAGCAGCTTATAAAATAGCTTTGCATTACATGTCATTTTCTTTCACAGTAGAAATTTTAGTCTTACATCCATTCTGTCAATACAGAATGTGAAGGAGACATCTGCATTTGTGCAAAAGGTTAGGGCTCTGACACTGGTAAAGATAGCAGCTGTCCCTTTATATAAACTGTAGGATACATACTTATACAGACAGTTGGGTCTACTTAGCAACTCATAAATTTGAGCTGGAAATATGTTTAACATTATTCTACACAAATACGAGGGAAAGTGCCTTACTCTTTCTTCCTCTTTGAAATTATCACCCATATGCCACCAGAAATAATCAACAGTAGGACACCAACTGCAGCTCCTGTTAAAACAAAACAATAATTTAATTTCAGCATTTGTTTTGTGTTCTTTTTTCTTAAGAAAGCAGCTAGAAGATGGTGGCAATACAAAATCCAATACACTAATATGAATATTTATGTTTTAGAAGTACACAGGAGTGTATATCTGACATTATGTGAACAGTCAAAACAGCATTCTGTAGGTCATTATTGATGGCTTACAAATGTGTGAAGGGGTGGGGGAGTGCTCACGCCAGCACTGATGGGCAGGCGCTCCTCCACTGCTTCGGGCATATGCCTGAGAGCGCACATGTACCTGCGAGGGGGCCCACCGCCTTCCTCGGAGGCTCAGCCGGTCTGTGGTCCCAAAAAGGTTGGGGACGGCTGAACTAGAGAACTCGTTGACCTAACCATGGCAGTTGCCTTGTTTTTGGGTAAGCTGTGGTTAACTGATGGGAAAAAAGGAGTCACTTTCTGGGATTTTCCTTTGGTGTCTATCTTGACTGCTGATATAAAATTTTCATCATTCAGGCCCACCTTTGCTATGTAAAACTTGACATCCTTTTTCCTGATTAGAATGCAGGCATGATCGATATTGCAAAGCAAAACTGAACCATATCCTCACATTTTTTATTTTCAACATAAAACAACATTCCAGAGTCATTAACTAGAGGTGGTTTTTGTTTGTTTGTTTGTTTTGAAAGGTTCAATAAAGGTACTAGCCACTTCTAGCTAGTTTCATGCAGACAGAAGGGCTGAAAACTGAAATACATCTATCTGGACTTCCATTCAACTCTGTTGAATTCAGAATAACTGTTTAGGATTGTATAGGAAAGAAAACAATGTTTCTAGTGCAACTTTTTGTTTACTGACATGTTTTGAATTTCTGTCACCTTCTTGATGAAAAAGTTTACAACTGAACAAAGTTCCTACCGGAGTGCACTCAATCTTTAAAAGAAATACGGAAACTTAGGATAGCTATTTGGAACAAACTTCTTAGTTGTATAAGAGACCATGTTTATCCATTTTCTTAAGATTTTAAAAAATAGATTCCTGCCTCCCTTTGAATGGAAAAACAATAAAGTCAAACTTTTATCTATCATGTCCTAATCATTAAAAAACCCACAACTTTTCCCGAGTCTTTTGAATTTTCTAGAGAATACAGGACACGGCTAATTTTGCTGCTCTTATTCAGATTAGAAATATTTAAAGATTAAGGTGTAGAAATATAACAGGACTACATTTTGAGAACAGTATGACCTGCAACAAAATTGTGCAGTGTGGAGTACTCCAGTCTTCCAGCCATCATTCAGCATTCCGGGCTCACCTGGCATGCTTAGCCCTCACAGGTATGCTAGTATGCTCTTTTAGGTTTTTTTCCTCCTCCTCCTCCTCCTCCAAATGTTGCAGTTTCTCAGAGCATGCTGATACCCCCCTCTTGTTTCTCCATAGCCCTATGCTGGCTGTGTAACGTTCTTAATTCAGCACTTGAGTTCGTTATTAATACATGTAGCGGGCCACTCTCAAGCCTCCACCAATACAGGCCTCCAAGAGTGCTCACTACTATTCTTCACTTGCTGCCACCAACCTATCCTTAGTACTCACAAAGGACAAGTTTTTCTTTCGAACAACTAAAGAGTTTATTGATTTGTACAAAATAAAAAGGGTGAATCACAGGTAATAAATCAAGTTGTTGATCACGTTTCTCAATTACTAGATCACACAGATTTTTCCCTCACTGACTATCTCTCTCAAATCTATCTCACTCTCTCAATCAACTTCTCTCATCTTTTCAAACTCTCCCAAAACTCCTCCTTTCACGCATCACACACCTTATATAATCCAGCTCCTCCCCCTTCTGCACCACCCTCCGTCCTCTCATTGGCTGAGGTTCCCCTGCCCAGCTGTGACGGACAGGTGAGAGCAGAGCTGTATGCCACAATACATACAATTTCATCAAACAGAATTTAAACAATGGGCACAATATCCTCATTTAGGATGGCTTAATGTAATTAATATATATGGGGTTGTATCATTATCAAGGATGTAACTGTATTATCCTGAAATTACTTACCAAAACCTATGTAAGTTTCCATGTATGAACCTAGTGTGAAAAGTCAAATAAGAGCAATTAGTTCCTTTGTTTCAAGCAGGAAGATCAAATATTTTAATTAGAAGCTTGGTTTGAAATTATGAAACTGATTTGACTGATTGTTGTTGTGATGTGCCATGAAGTCATTCCTGACGTCTGGTGACTATGTGAATGGACACTCTCCAAAATGTTCTGCCCTCAACAGCCCTGCTCAGCTCTTCTAGACTTAAGCCTGTGCGTCCATTAGGGAGTCAATCCAACTCATATTTGTTCTTCCTCTTTTCTAGCTGTCTACCACCTTTCCTAGTATTATTATCTTTCCAAGAGAATCCTGCCTTCTCATGATGGGTCCAAAGTAGGACCACCTCAGTTTCAACATTTTTGCCTTCAGAGATAGTTCAGGCTTGGTTTGATTTAGGATCCACTTGTTTGTCTTTCTAGCAGGCCAGGGTATCTGCAAAGCTCTCCTCCAACAACCTATTTCAAACAAATCAATTTTTTTCTTGTTAGTTTTCTTAACTGTCCAGCTTTCACACTCACACATGATGACTGAAAATACAAGACTGTGGATGATCTTAGTCTTGGTCTCAAGTGACACATCCTTACATTTGATGATCTTATCTAATTCCTTCATTGCTGCTCTTCTTAGTCTCAGTCATTGTCTTCTCTTTTTTGGCTGCAGTCTCCATTCAGACTGAAGACTGAACCAAGGTATACAAAATCTCTATTTACATTTCTTCATTGTCAGTGTTAAAGTTGTGTAATTCTCTTGTAGCCATGATTTTTGTTTTCTTAATGTTCAACTGCAGTCCTGTTTGGTCCTTTTCTTCTTTCACTGATTATTTGAATGAAAATACCTCAACAAAAAGAGTATTTCGCAAGGTTTAGCAATGTAATTATACTATCTCAAAAACTACCAGAAAGAATCACAAAAACATGTCTATGGGTATATTAGGACTTCTGTTATATTCATCAGTTGATTAAAGTTATATTACTATGCCAGAGAACTATCATTCAGTGACTACATAGTCAAGTACAGTCCACCATTTTGGCAAATGTTTTATTCCTTACGTACAAAAGGAATTAAAAATAATGCAGCTGTAGGGTATATCCACTCTTCCACCATTCCAACCATTTTGGTGTCATTTTGTCTCTAGTATCCTTAGCCATGCAATACAGAAGCCACAAGTGCGGGAAAACAAACAGATTAAGGCAGGGAATAAACCAGCTCTTCAAAGAGTTACCTTTTTATATTACCAGCTCCTAGTATCTTCCAGGCAGCATTGCCACTGGAGTAGACTATTGCAATGTATGTCACATATTTATTTTTATCTTTGAAAATGTTTATACTATTTTTATTTAAATGGCAGCAAAAACCTCAAAGAATAAAATCATGAGAAAATGAAGTGAAGTCAATTGATAGAAGTATGAAGCTACTTCACAATCTTAACACAGGGTAATCACTCATATACAAACAGATTGAGGATTATTAACACAAGGAGGTAAGAAAGGAATAAAAAGCCCAACTCCTGCTAAAACCTGTTGTCATCTACATAAACTACTCCAGGAAATTCAGATTCTACCTCAATCTTTCATGAAATTCAAATTTTATCTCAACTCCAGAGAGCCTTTATATGTATTTATTCTCTACTCACCTGGTTTACAAACTGGCACAGGTGGATCCCAAATGGAACCATGCTGACACTGAACATGAGGACTACCTTTCAAAACATAACCCTCTTCACACTCCAGAGTCACATTATCTCCAACCTCAACCACAGTTTCAGTATTTAACTTCTTCCCACCAGAAATCTGTAGGAGGATGCAGCCAATTGCTGAGAACCAAAAGTAATGAAAAGGTTTATTAGATACATGAAGTGATGTAGGAGTTACATGCAAAGTACAAGTATCATTTTTATAATTATGGGCCCCACCTTGAAAATTGAATTTTTATGGCAAAAAAAAAAATTATTAAATGCAGAATGTGTACCTTTTACATAATATATAGAGGAAATCTACCCTGCGGTTATATGCCTTTTTCCATGGCTCAAAGCGAGCACTTCTCTAACCACAGTCCAAATCCCATATATTTATTTATTTATTAGATTTCTATCCTGCCCATCTAGATCAAAGGTCTATGACCACCTATCATGGAGCATGTGTTTTTCTGCAGTTTGCTTGATATTTTTCTTAGCACAGTTAAAGCCCAAAAGAAAACTAACCGGGCCTCATATCACTGCAAACCCTTGACTGGAAGCACTTTTGAAGCATATCTGTCAGTCCCTTGTTTGGGTGCAGTGCCACGCTGATGAAAGTAGAGACGTGACTATTTAGGTGTTCCTCCGGTATTCAGATCATTTAGTTTTACCTGGGGTTTTCTCATTGTTGTGTCCTGTATCCACGTGTGCCTCATGTCCCAACTGCTGTTTCTGTGGATATTTTCCTGGCATAGAGGGAAATTAGTTTCATGTTACAAGGTTCACAAATGGAACAACACGATAGCATTATGAATACCCACCTCTACAGACATCCCATGATAGTTGCCAAGTTTGGAAGTAGTAGTAGCAGGAAGAAAGAAGGGGATAAGGGGCTCTCACAGAAAATTTTGTACCATATACAATGAACGCCCATTTTTCTCCTGTTAGTGATAAAAGACATATGTTTACAGAATTCCTGAACTTCTGACCTGCGTTCGATCTGGACAGATTCAGGGCACCATCTCAAGGCTGATCCAGGCTTCCCTTTGATGAACACAGAACACTATATGGCAGTGCACATCCCTACTAGCTAGTGGCTTTCCTTGTTCGACATCATACTCTTTCAAAGGGAAAGCTTCCTCCATATACTTGCCCCGTTCACAGAGAGGGAGAGGTGGCTCCCACGTGCCGTCCATCTGGCAACGGATCTCTCTTGAGCCAGACATCGTGTAGCCCTTGTTGCAGTCAAACATGACACTTTGGTTTTGTATGTACGTTTGAGAAACCCCGTGAACAATCCTTCCGTTCTCAAGGTGAGGCGGTGGACACTCCCTCACTGAAAAACAATAAAGAGAGGAAGAAGAGCAGGTTTGTTTCTATGTCTCTCTCTTTAGCTCTTTGGATGCCATATCATGGATGGATAGGTTAGCTCTGACTACCTGCTGAGTAATATAGAGACTGGATCATTAGTATTTTGGGGTAGGGGAGAGAAAATATATATGCGTTCACTACCAAAATACCGTACTACCAAATTCCCATGCTTCCGTCTTTTCTCCACAAAGCACAGGAGAACTGAAAAGCTCACCTCCACAATATACACGGCCACTCCACTCTCCATGGAACCCATCCTTAGAGGTACAGTGAATGTGGGCATCTCCGAAAAGCGGGTAGCCGTCTTCACAGGTATATGTTACGACTGTCCCATAAGTGAAGTCATCCTCGTATCTGCCACTGTGTGTGCCATGAGGAATGTCTGGCGGTGGGAAACATGGGATACCTGAAGGGAGAAATATTAGAAGGCATATATTACAGTCAAATCTGGGAGCTAACTCTCTTTTTTTTGAAGTGAGAAGGCCTGTGGCATGAGGAAGAGCTAACCTGAGGCGTCTGCAAGTGGGTCAGACCAGAACCCAAGGACAGGTCCGAAGGGTTGTGGCCCCTCCCTGAAAGGGGACGGATTTGCACAAGACTTCCTGGTAGCTCTGTGGTTTCTATTCTGCCTCTCCCCAGTGGAGGAAACGACCATTCTAACCAACCAAAGAGACCCGGGGGCAGTGCAGGAAACTCTCCAACCTTCTCTGCCACAACATGAGACTCAGAGCGGAAAGGGGTTGCCAGTCGAAGAACCAGGTCTGCAATCCCTGCCTCCCTCAGAATAAACCCAGGATTGTCTCAGATTGGGAGCTCATGGTTATCCACATGAGGCCGGGTCGCCCCCTGCCCCTACTCTAGGAGTCAGTGGTGGAGCTCACACCAGCTTTTCCCTTCTTCCCCACACATATTTTGGAGAGGCCCTGAAACCGTGAAACTGTATCGTGAAGGAGCTCATCCGGAATACAATAGAGATACAGAGATGCCAAGTCATGTTCCACGTACGCTGACAAAAGGGAACGTCACCAGTCCACTGCACTCTTCTGCCCAATATCTCACACCTTCGTGAAGAAGCACCGAGTAGCCTGTGCCAATATTAAAAAAAAACCAAGCTATGGTGAGGTATTAGTTTCTTTCACATTCAGGTGCCTCCT